AAAAAAAAACATCAAATGACGCCAGTGAAGGCCAAGTGCCGTCATCCGACCTCGTTGGCCGGTTTGGAAGCGCTGAGTGAATAGGTAGGAAAACCTCGCCATGAAATCCGACAAGACGGCGGTCGCGGTTCGAAGCGTCCGAATACAGGCTCGTCTCTTAAGGTCGCTTGGAAGTGACGAACTATCTGATTAAAAATTGAATCCACGAGCAATATCTCTCTAGTCATCTTAGTGACAATTAACAACTTCGTTTTAAGTTGTTACCTATCCCGGAATAAGCCATGCCGTTGATTTCCAGATGGAACCATTTAGGGAAAGCAAATAACTAAACAACTGCAGTTGCTAGACAAAAAATTGATTTGAATTCTATAAAAGGCGATCTTTTTTGCCTTCTAATCACGCCAACCATTATCTCCAGCAATTCTGTGTCAATAGCAATTTAAGTTTAGTGAAAAAGGAGCATGTGATGGGTAAGAGTGTTGTCAAACGATAACTAGGCAAAAATGAATGTTCAGACAAAGGATTAAATGAAAACGGACATTGAAAAAACGACAAAATTCAAATAATGACGAAATTTTGAACACGAGGTAATTCGAATTATCACATTCCNAGTGACCATGATTGAGGGCAAAAACCCGTATATCAAGCACCGTATTACTGTACAGAAATTATGATTAGATTATATCCAATAGGAAAAAGTTCTGATAAAAGAGCGGAGCCTTATCTAAAGTCAAATCAAAGAGAATGATCGAAATCGCGGGAGAAAACTCAACTGAGTAATTATGTAAAGACTAGAAAGTAAGAAAAAGTTACGTGGAACTTCCCTTTAGTGGCAAAGAGCCTCACAGTATCAGTCATTACTTCATGAATTATATTAAGAAAACATCATAGGGGTACTATAACAATAAAATTATTTATTCCGACATATTTGATTATTCAATGAAGATTGTTTACTGGTTATATCTAGATTGATCTATTAAAGCTTCTGAGAAAACGAAAATTTGCTACAAATAAATCTAAATTTTCAAATAATTTATTTTAATTATTTGTAGAATGGGTGGTTTATTGATCATGGATAATTCGTCATAGGTGACACAGGTGTAAAAGTACTATTATGTGTGAGAATTCACTATCAATAAATGACTAAGTGTGTTTAAAAGATTAAATTGCGACAAATACTTCTATCAGAGAATATGTGCATGCACTTCTGAGCGCTTCTATAAATGGCAAAGCCACTATTAACATATGATTTCCATACTCGGAGGACACCAGCGTTTCCTCGAATGTTCATGTTTAATAACCCCTGTTTACATCCCCTCGATTTGTTTTTCAGATAATCTTACATTTCGAATTGTTTCGCCTTTCCCTTAAAATCTTGCACTGAAAGCACAGTTCAGGTGAAAAAGTTTCCGAGAATTCTTCTTATGATGAACTTGTGACTTCAAAGGATGTACAAGGAACCCTATCGGGTCGCTGACCCGAAAAATGGCTCACATAGAGCATATTGAGAGCTCCAAGAACTGACTTAGCCGACGTACACACCCAAAACGGACGAGAAGTTACGACGTTAAAGAGGTTTCAGAGATTGCACCGCACCGGGACGCACACGATGCACGCAGGCAGCTTACTGTAGCCAGCTTTACCCAATGGCTACAGTTCGTCCATATGTGACTCCTATGCAATTTTTGCACCACATTCTCATCCAACCCCTATTTTTGCTACTTCTTTAGAGCCTTATATTTCTTTGAAGAAGCTGATCTTCGCCACTTTAGCGTATACTAGACTATCCTTTCCATTATACCTTTATAACTATAACTATAACCAATCCAAAAAAAAACTAGGTGGATTTCGTAAAATGAAATGAGCGAGCCATATGTCTTAAAATTAGTCTTTAGGTTTGGTGAGCTCAATACCAATTACTCACTCTCAAGAGACGGACAAAGCTCAGATAGTCCAGAGACGCTCAGATCCGTTATGTGACGAATGAGAAATTTTTCAAATAAGGGCACCGCCCTTCAGAAACTCGCCTCTACATACATAATTCATGGTCTGGGGTCATATATTATCATATACGGTTAATATAGGGTATAGAGTAGGGTATAGGGTGAAGGTTAGGTTTGGGGTCATATTACTCTATTAATATATTTATAGTTAAGTCCAGCAAACTATGAGTATTCATAAAGTAGAACTTCAAAAAGGTCGGGTAAACATGAGCTAGAAATTACATCGACATAACATTGAAGTTGAACATGTGTCGATAGACTGGCAAAAGTGGACCTGAAATTTATTCGAACCAGTGGGCGTATTTGACTGTCAAATCGAATCATTTCATAATGTAGAGAACTGGTCAATGACTTTGGCCGGAAAAATATATTTATCCGAACTGCAATGAAATCCGAATGCACAAATTTTGCTTCAAAATGTAACGTTCTAATTCTATTTTTCGGATTTCCAAACCATGTTACTACTACATACAGATATACGAAGTGTCGAGTCATCGGGACCATTAGGTGTAATTCGCCAACACGACTTCTGAACTTGGATAGTTTTGCCACGATTTAGCTACTCTCTCAAAGAACATCCTACTAAAACATTTCAATTGATGGGATTACAAAGTGGTAAAATGCCCTATCTCGCTAAGCCAATTAAGTCATACACATAGCTTATGACCGGGCAGAGTAAAAGTGCGATATTAGGAGTAAAATACTAAAATTGCAAAATGAGAGCATCAATTGTGAAAAAAAGTTGTCAAAGAAATAAAGTGCACGGTCAATCACGAGATCAGCTCAAAGCAGAAAGCTTCTTCGGGCTGCTCATGGGAAAATGGATGTGCTCTGAGTGAGTCTGGTTCCATAAGGTTCCTGTGGGCGAAAAAACAAGAATCATATGGAACAGAAAGAAAATTTCAACAGGAGAAGCATATAGTATTTCTCGGTTTTTGTCTTTATGCTGACACATCATCTCCGCAGCGGCGCAGTTAAAGAAATAATTTTGGGATCGGAAATCATCAGATTGTCGTATGATGTGAAAAATCTATCAAAAAGAACGTTTAGTATATATACATATCTTAATACTAAACATAGTCAATAAACATTATGAGGAACGATCAAAAGGGAAAAAAATGTTGTGACCGTTTGGACAGATGTAGTAACTTAAGAAATACTCAAGAAAATAAAGAAAAATGTCCGGGCAGAAAAATGCGGGTAACCGGCCAGTCCATTAGTCAAAGAATATTTGCGTTTAATTGTTTACGGACACTGTTCTTTGAGAGAGGGTGTACTGTGGCTAATCAATAATCGAAGGAGAACTAAGTAGTCGATCGTAGTAACGGAGACATAAAATGTTCGACGATGACCAGCTCCCTCGAAATGGGCGACTCGACGTTCATCAAGGATACGTTTATGTATTGGAATAAATAAACGTAGGTGACCCTCCAGCCTCGAATCATTACCATAATTTAATGACCATAAAAAGTAGGAATGAACGATACTACGGTGAAACTGAAAAAGGGTAGATGGTGCCAAGGGGGAGGGGAAGAGGGGAGGGGGTGGGATTGATGTACTTGGCAGGCCCTAATGTAATTCACGACTCAATTTTCTAGCTGACTGCCCGCTGAAATACTGATAATTTAAGACCAACGTGGGTAAATCTTCACTATAGTGATGATCCGTCGGTATCAACTTATCACCAAATCCTAAAACATCCCTGAATGTCATCGGGGTAAATATAACGTGGTCTTCACACCACCCCAGAATTTATTGGAGAGCAATTTCAATAGTATGCAAAAGATTATTTATTATGTAATATATATAACATTATAATATGTAAATGATTCTTAAGTCTAACTATAAGACCTAATCACATATTGTATTGCAGTACAAAAAATCTTAAAGACTGAAATGTTCGGTAAATATCCGAATCTTAAGCTAAGCTTTGATCCTGACGGCATTCACGACATTCCAGAGCTTGGGGAAGGTGATGTCGCCGAACAGTTTATCACTTGAGCATTCAAAAGAACCATCCTTAGCTGTAGAAGAGATCAAACTGATTCAAAAAATATAAAAATTGTCGCGAATGTAGTACACGAGTTCTGCTGGCTTTTTTCACAGTCTATAATCAGTTTTTTGCACTACTCTAACGAATCTTTTTGTTTTGCCCTTTAAAGCAAAAATGATTCTATTTGGAATTCGTCGGCATGGCGCAATCCGAAGAATGCCTGAAGTCTTAGTGCATCTGTGGTGATACATTCCAACTGCTTTGCTAAACGTCCAGTAAAAAGCTCGTTCGCTCATCATCAAGGCATCACTCCCTGAAGTTGATAGTCTAATGTATGCAGAAGATGATGCGCAATTATCTGGGGTTCATACTTCCAGGCGACCGCGCGTATTTATCGTGCATCATAAATGACAAATCCTACAGCACAAGTTTTCTTGTCTCATCCTCACCTAACAACATTTAGAGAGGAAAAATTGAAACCAACAACGAAATCGTTGAGGGATGTGTACGAAATGAGAGTGTGACGTCGAATGCCATCCAGTTTCACACTGATGCGATAATTTAATCAATCTGGTTGTTGGCCATGTTTACAAAGAGTTATCAAGAAGCGAATTACTGTGTTGCATACAAGGTCAACATCTCATTATAAGGCAACTGACTTTCAAGTTGTTCTATAACTAAAAGCCTGTAGCATGATACTGAATCTCAAAAAGAGCAGGTAAGGGGCTGCAATGTTAATCAAACGCAACCTCGCAAGGCCATGGTCATTTTTAGTGAAAAGAGAAAAGGCGAGAGGGCAAGAATGGACGAATTTCAAAGGAACTATAAGTGAACCAGCCTCTCCATAACGCTCTCGGAAATCATTCCTTTACTTCTCTGAGTAATTTGTGAACACATTCTATTTCGCTCATTTTAATTACGTCAATTATCTTGCATGTATTCTAGGGCAATGAAATTTGAATGGACAAATCCCAAAAGGGAATGAATGGGTCAGTTTTCTCGCATCGCTTCTGGGATGCTTTCTTTGACGTCATTGGATTACTTTTGGCTACATTTTTTTCGTATCTGCGCTTACACCACGTAATTACTATATCGTAAAAAGCATCTTACAAAATGATGTTGGCAGTACTGTATAGTTATTCTATTTTAACTGTACTGTTCGCGCCGAAGGCAGGATTTGGTCCGCCACTTTTCCAGATCCTAGCTATCCTTATTAGCTAGCCGCCTAGCCAGTTACACCCCTCCGTTCCTACCAAACAGCTCGACGCACGGGATTAGGAGGATACCTAGGGCCATGAGGTTCATGGAATCAGTACAATGGTTCGTACAACAAGAGAGGTCACAGAAATCGTCTTTGAAATTATGAAAAGAGTCGTGACAGAACTTATAAGGAAAAAAGCAAAGACGGTACCTTCATCGGTGTCTCTTTATTCTTTTTCGTCGTTGAATCTTCATCCTTTCGTAAATCATCAAAATGTAATTTTCCCATTGATGATGAATGAACAATCTACCTGAAAAGTGATACAATTCTGACAAAAGGTTTTCTACATACCTACTTGACGAACGCGAAATTTTACGAAAGAATAAGGAGGGGAACCTCAGTGATTTCCAATCATTTCAACATCTTGTTGACAACAATAAGAGCCTCGGAAAAGCTGAGCGGTCAAGTTCAACTTCTGAGCAACTTCTTTTCACACATCTGACTTACAACAGGCTCGAGCATTGAGGAAAACAACGAAAACATAGCGGAAAGTATCCGGCATGGATAGAACCTTCAATTAGGCTATGCTCTTATGAAAAGAGAGAAGATACGTCACGCTTTCGACTCCAATTTTGGATTGTCAGCTACGCATATTTGCTAAACAGAATCACTAGAAATGATCAGCTCATGTACAAATTTGTGCTTTCTCTGCTCGCATAGCTACGATACTGTTACGTTACCGGTTGATCGATCTAGGAATTTGATTCTATTTGCTTCAGCGAAACTAGATCCGAAGGTTCCATTCAGGCACGGAATAAACGCCGCTGACTGCTTTGGAATAAGACATATTTCAACAGATGGATCCCAAAAGTTTTGACCTTTCTACTCTCCGGATAATCTGTTCAGGGTAATTCGAGGCACGACTCACAATATAGACCTTGATAAACAAGTTAATCAAGTAATGTGTTCATTTTCAACAAGGAAGAAACTCATAGTCCACAATGTTATCAAAAGTGCTCGTGTTTTCCTGTTCCGGGGGTTCCTCCGAGGCCGGGTCGGTTTTCGGCAGGTGTGGTGATCATACAGCTCAAGCAATATAGAATTAGGAACAAACAAAATTGAAAAGCTCGAGGGGCTTGAGGAGTAAGAGGAGCTGAGTAATTAAAATCGTGGAACTCGGTCTGCGGTCCACCAGTGTAGTAGCGGAGCCATATGACATTGCTCTTTCTTTCTCCTCACCCCTTCTAAATAAAAAAAACCTCAAGGTACATTGCCAAGGGCGCTAGTATTCCACGTTTTAGATTGGAATCGTCGGTGATACCAGCCACAACTGAAAAACGTGTAAGCATTGCAGATGACAACGGTAGCAAGTGACGTGTGGACCAGGTACCCTTAGAAACTTGCCCGTCCCCCTTAATAGAAGTCGAATGCGTGGCATGACCTAATACATCGTCCAGTGCCAATCGGTCTCGACCTTGTATGGGAAAGAAATATTTCCAGTACGGTGTATGTGGGAGAGGACATAGGATGGAAAAAGAAGAACGAATGGGAAATCTGTCATCGACGTAATGACACACTGCCCTTTTCATGATTATTGATCGGTGAAAATCTTAAGAACGTTAACATTAGCACACGCCGATAGGAAAGCACAACAAAACAAACTGATTAGGTAGGAGGGGGAAAAGAAAGTGTAGGAAAGACACCAGTAGTCGAGAAGAATGAAAAAGAAAAATGTTTTGTTAGAGCTAAGCAGTGCCTGTCTAGACAGAGAGAGGGGCTACAGCATTTTTCTTTGTGAAACCATTCCCCATTCAAATGCAGTGACCTCAAAGGTCCCCGAAAATTTAAAAATTTATAGAGAACTACGTTAGGTAGGAATCAGTACGTGTTCGGTAAGGGAGGGTAATGGTAAATGGAGAGTAGTGGTATGATGCCAAATGATTGGTGGTGGTGATCGAAATCCGGATAGGTACTCGCCCGAGCGATGGGGGAACGTGAGCGTATCCCACACGGGATTGATCGACATGAAAAAACAGTTAAATGTGTTGGGATCAAACGAATGTTACGGTATGTACGGTATCATATGGAATAAATACTAAATAAGATACTGTCCGCGGAACTGCATCCTCCTTATCCACGTCGTGAACTAGTGGGATGAGATCCAGTCGATCAAGCTGTGTGCTCCGCCTAAATTCCAAGTGCTCATCCCATCAGTACAGAACGGAACATACTCGACCGGTTACTCGTCGTAGACTATCTCAAATCAGCATGAGGGAAAATTTGCATTTGAGAAGCTGAACTGAGGTCTCAAGTCCTGAACGTCATCTTTTGCACCGTTACGCATGACTAGGAACATCCCCTTGTCAGGTTAAGCCCAGGATCATAAATAAATATCCTGATTAGCTTGAAAATCTTGAAATCCTCAACGTCCGCAACTTGATGTACAAGTCATAACCACCAGTCAAAACTCTGCGATTCTGAGCCCAAACTCAAGGTTCACTATGAGGTTTCTTGAAATTTTTCTTTTCCTGTTTGCTTCATACAAGTTCAACGAGGACAAGGAAATCAAACAATGAACCCTTTTCGGTACGTGCGCGTCCCAAGTCAGTTGTGGGTGTGACTATGGCTGATTCCTCCAACAGACAATTGCCAATCAATCATTATTCATGATATGTACTGAAGAACATAAATAATAGAAGAAAAAACACAGAAGAAAGTGAAGAAAGAAAGAATGAACACATTCAGGACATCTAAACCAAGAAGGAGGAGACTAATCGATCAATAGAACGGTTCAGATCGAGATGTAATCATGGTTGTACTTGCATGCCATCTCAAGTGACTGATGGCCATATTCAGCCATTAACATGGAGCTAAGACGCTTATCACTAACTGGCCTCTTGAGGCTGCGCCATGTGCCATACTGTCATCCAAAAACGATTTGACTATTGAACACGTAATAAACTACATAATTAATTTCGTGGACGATTAGCTCAATTTATTGGCCGGCCTCCAAATTTGAGAAGGATCTCTAGCCCGGGCAAAATTTGTGAAGGTGTATTGCCTTCATGGCTTACAACTTTATATGGCTTCAACCGCTTCTGCCCATCTTTGTCATCTGAGCAATGTAGGAGAAAAAGTCCTCATGAGTGCGGAAGCGATAACCGAAGACAAGCAATATTTATCGCAACCGGTAATAAACAGACTTTTGTTGGTGGAAGCAGCACGATCTCTTTCGCTCATGCTTGCGTTCAGCTAATTTACCATCTCTAACAACAGGTACTAGCACAGTTCCAGTGACCATGATGAGGCTCAAACTCCATACTGAATAGTTATTACGTCAAAACGAAAATCCGTCACGGAACGCCTTCATCTTGGATGGTTGACTAGGCGGTGTAGCTCACTTTAGAGAAAGGACAGTTCCCCACAGTGCTAATTCTCCATTTTTCTCAAATGCATCTTTCCTGGGTGCCTTGCTTTAAACAGGATCTATGTGTGCTTCGTAAACTGAAGCATCTTTAGGTTGAATTAGAGCAGCTGGCTGGAGCAAAATTCTGCCATTATTTCATATCATCATTAGTTTAGGAGTGATTTTTCCCAACCCAACTCCACCTGATAAAAATCTTACTACATCCGGCTTAAAAATCTGTACATTCTACGCAAGAAGTTTTTCGAAGTTATAGTGGCCATTGAAAGGTGTAGAAACATCATAGCAGTTTCGTTTTTTCACATACATGCCGGTATGTTGTCTTCCTACAGTAGATTGGGCACGGGTAAGTTTTTTTTTCAAACTGAAGGTCTGTCTTACGGTAAGAGGTAATTGCCGAGAAAGACCTGACTAGCTGCCGCTCAAAAAAAGACCACGACAATCTCATGTAAAAGGATGAAGGACTTACAAATACACGGGTAATAGGTTGAGTGTTCGCCGATGAGTTTTTTGGGGTTTTTCAAGTTTTACTACTGTTCGTTGGTTCTTTCCAACAACAAATAAAAAACCAAATGCACTTTCCATACTAATTCGTTTGACCACATCAATCTCTGATTACAAGTATTCCCTTTTTACTGCTGGTATCCGGCCAGGGACCTACGGGTGGGCAAGATTTGTGACACAATTTCGAAGTTGACGACGTCATCATTCTTTTACTCTGATTGCATTTCCAGTGGTGAAATAGTCGAGAGGGTACGTAAGAGCGGGGCTTAACCAACTCAATAAGTATAGTGGCAAACTTATGTTGCCAGGATAACAACCTTTGAAATTCTAGCACCCTAAACGCAGATGAAAATTTGGGTACGATGGCGGTACTTCTCCGCGAATTCCCACGGCAAGCGGCAAAGAATCCGCTGATGTGTCCTCCCACTAGGAATCCGAATCTTCCGTTCCACAACGGCGACTGCGCGCGGACGGATGCGGAGAGCGCGACGCGATTTCCGGAGATAAGTCACCACACCCAGGAACGACGGTTACTGTTCGGAATTTCAAACAAACACTAAATCGCGTCTTCGAAAGCAGTGAACCGAAGAAACGTCTTTAATCGCATCTGCTGTAAGTCAGGGACGAATGGAGACGTCGGGATGGATGGATATATCATTGGTGCCCAACCGAGGTAATCGATGGTAAACGGACACAGGTAGTAGAGGTGACAGGTGGGTATTGCCAATACAGTAGGAAAAAAGGTGGGTGATTCTTTCATTGCTCGAAAACTTCATGAATATGAACGAGAATTTTCTTGAGTGTAATGTCTGGTCGTAAATAACCGTTGTCACCGCGTAGAGAACAGGAAAAGGGGTTTATGTCTTTCGAAACGCTTCACAACTAGTCTTGCTAGGGACGCTGCAACGCGACTGATGATCGTTCAATGTTTTTTAGGACGATTGTAGAACGTTTCCGCTGAAAATTCAGTCCAAACCCCCGCCCATTTCGACAGGAAAGGAAGGTGAAGCGCAGCTCTGTTTTAAAGGGAGTTATAATTAATAAAACTTTCAAGAAGATTGACTTTCGAAGGGCAACATACCGAATCGAACCAGTTTAGAAAAAAAAGACGACTTTTCCAAACATCAAGCTCTTTGGGGTGTGCCAGAAATCCAACATCCATTCAAAATTACAGAAAAGTGAGGACGATTGTTCAACCTACTCATTTGGCTGCAATAATCAGCCGGTATTCAAATTCAATAATCTCACTAATACGTAGAAAATGGGGCTCATCAGGCCCCGTGCATTGAGATCTATCCTATCTTATTATCCATTCCAATTATGCGGAAATAGCTTAAAAAGTCCGCAAATAATGTTTAAT